CGCTGTTGATGTCCGTGAGGTGGAAAAGGATATTGTGCATACGAGTTTACCTATATGACAGAAAGTACAATGATTTATCAAGCTTCAAACGCTAGAATCTGATATAAAATAAAACTCTGATAGATAATATCACGGAATCTACTGCTAAACTAGTAAATTAAAGATACAATAAAATAAGATATTTAAGGAGTAAATGAGAGAATTCTCAAAATGAGAATTGATTTATCTTCTACCTGGGAATTCTCAGTCTTCCCTTGGTAACCGTATTGATCGTAAGGATTGCGGACTGGTCCTGAAGGCGATGGAACCGAGGATGAGAGAGTGGCACCACCTCGAGACTGCTGAGGGCCTGGAGAATTGCTTTGCTGCAAAAGCTGATTAAGTGTTAAACTCTGCTGGTGTGATTGTTGGGGAGGAAAGTTTGCAGGTGGCTGCTGAGCATATGAACCACTGGCGCCCGGTGGCGGTACATGCTGGCTAGGATATTCATGAGGATAGTAAGAATAATTGCGGTATTGTTGGTATTCGTGACCTTGGTATTGTCCACTCATTTGAGGTTGCCCATTTGCTCCCGGAGAGGCTCTCGATAAAGTCTGTGCTTCAGAACCCTGATGAGGAGGTACTGGGTAGTTTTGTTGCTGGCTTGCGCTCATTTTGGCGCCTAATGAAATTCCAAAAGATAAATGGAGAAACAACAGTAGAATAAGGATGACGGCGATCTCAAAGATTGGAACAAGTGCATCCTAAAAACACAACTGAAGATGTCGCGATAATATATCCCACAAAGAAGAGGAAAATGCCCGGTGGAAATCCATAAGCGCGCCAGAGTGAATCATTTAAAGAGCCAAACAAAGTTCGGCGGTCGCATCAACTGAAGTGTCTAAGTAAATCCGAGATAGCCGTAGAGATCCACACGTGACGGGCTGGAGCGGCGACAATAATGCGAATGCCCCTAAGCCACGCTCTGGACTAGAGTCATATACAAAGCCATCACGGCACAAACTATGCAGTGGGTCGTGAAAACAAGACGCACACATGAACGTAGTCGTAAATGACTAACTTAATAATATTATGGTAATAACCAGGCAATAAAGGGTTCATTTAAAAGCAAAAAAAAAATTAAATGTGAATAAAATTAATTTTTAAATAATAACTTAAAATAAAAGTAAAATAATAAAAATAACAAAATCGCATTAAAGTGGTATACACTGAACGAATTTGCTGAGTGCTCTGTGACATCTTCATTTGAGTAATCTAGTTGCTCGCTTTAGAGCCTTTGTCGCCATTTTGTTAAAACTTTAGCAAAATTCTAGTTAAACTTTAAGAGATTTAAGCTAAATTTAATAAAATAAATTTAATATATATTATTTTAGTTAAAAATCAACTTTATACCTCAAAATCTTTGTAAAATACTTCAAATATTCTTAAAATGTATGTTATTTTAATTGATGTTAGAGCGTCCTGGAACCAAATGAACTAGCTTATTGATTCGAAATAAGGGGCTTATCGCTCTTGGCTTTTGGTTCATCCCGTCACGCGTGAATCAGTCCTAGCGAAGCTTTCTAGCCAGCCAGCCAGATAGAGTGTGTTCATGCTAGCGCGCGCATCTCACTGCCGTCATCAGCCCACACCTATTGGCTTGGCGAGTAGACTACTAATGCTCCGTCTGCCTCAAACACCGTCTATAGTCCACTCGTCCGACCCTCCTAACGAAGACATAGATACGAAGACTAACAGTTTGGTGAGGCGAGGGTCGTTGGACGGGGCTCAGGCGAAACTCTATCTGGGCACGTCTGCCCATGCAGCACTCATTTTTACATCTTAAAAACGATTACGGCACAATATACTACTTATTTGAAAACAGCCATATAATTTAGGTATCGTTAATGAAGTACATTTAGCTACTAACGTTCGATTCAGCAGTAGTCAAGGCGAATTGTATGTCACAGCTTATTTTAAAATGATGCTTGCATGCGTGGAGAATAAATATTGTGGCTTACAAGATATTAGATACTATTTACGGTAGATGTATGATGGTGTAAGCTGTGTTGGTATGTCGACACCTGATTGGGAACGAAAATGTGAATGCTAAGGCTGGTTACATTATCCCAGTCTATTTGTTGTTATCGGTGTCGGCACTTATATGTTGGTACAAGCTTGTAGCTTTAGCATAAGACCCGTATAGCATAAAGTAACGAAGGTGTGATAGTTGAGCTTTCCCACAATATAATGTTTAGGCCTCACGATGCATTTGAATCTCACTTGCCTTGTCCTCAATAAAGATATAATTATCTAGGCTGTAGTGAAGTGCAGCATCCACCTCGTCTGGGTCTCATCAGCATCCTCAGCGGGACTCGAACCCAGGTAGTGCCATGCTTGTTTTCCACATTAGGTCACTGGGCATGCCTAACTTTTTTTGGCAATCCATGCCAATCCAATATACATTTCTTTACAATTGGGCTGTTAGTGAAGCAAACTTGTGTTTGCTCTTAT